GTAAGTCGTCGGAAGTATTGAAAAGGGACACGGACAAGGGGTGATTATGGGCACGTTGGAGCCAAGTCGTTAAAAGTTCTGGAAACTTTTTGGCGCGCGGGAAAATGATGCGAATGGAAGCCCACAGGGCCGGAATGGATAGCGCGATGTCGGTCCATGCATTGCATATGTTCAGGAAGAGCATGGGAAAATGCTGGACCCCGTGCTGCGGGAAAGGAGGGAGACATCGGAAGAAAATGTCGGAGGAGATTTCGAGGGGTAAACGTGCCATCGGATCGCGGACGGCGTTGAGCTGACGTTGTACAAGACTTTTACTCTTCTCCAAATCAGTCAAGAGCTCCTTCTGCCGCGCGATTTCGGCAGACAGTTTCTCGATTCGCGCCTCCAGTTCGTGTACAGACATGGCCTGCAGCATCCTTTAGTTATGGTTGGGAACGATGAGCCTGAGAAGTTTATCCTACGAAATGGTTATATAACAGACTGTCGTGTCGAGCGCGCCGAGCGTAAAGGACTTGATAAAGACTACCAAAAACGCGTCAGCGTATAAGGACGCGAGAAATGCGAGAGAAAGAGGAAGTTTCTCACTCGTCTGTTAGTCTTTTTATGAGATACTCTCGATCAGCCAGCGATTTTTTTCCACCGTGAAGCCAGCGAACCCAATTGCAAGACTACGCTAGAGCGATGGTGGTGGGACTGGAAGAGAGGGGGTGATTATATAATCCTCGGGCCGGTCTTCCCGAACTTCCACGCAAGTCCCCGGAAGTTGCTCGGAAGACCTTCAAGGTCCTGAGGGTCGTGTCCCCAACGATCTTTCACGCTCTCTGAAAGCGAAAAAGGCGTGACTTGAGGCCAGAGTCTAAGTACTTCCGCGGCTGGGCAAGTGCCACTGGCGGTGAGTGCACGGTGGCCCGTGCGAAGGCTGGGAGTAGATGCGAGTCTTGGTTTAGCTCCTTCTAACAGACATTTTATCATCTCTAGCTTATAACTCGCGCGATACATGTACCGCGACTCATTTCATCCGGTCAATCCCAATGGATCGCCCTATACTTTCCGTGTCTGCGACTCTGCGAAAGAACTTCAAGCCCTCATCGAACATATCTTAGCCGATATAAGTTGACAGACAAGCAACTGCAGCACCGTAGACGTGCTACGCAACGACGGCTCGATACCTTCCGCACGGACCGCGAAATCACCTCCTACATCGTCGTGCAGTGTCTAGAACGTTTTGCCGAAGTCGGAGCCAGCCCTGACCCAATGCTGTTCCTCAGTACGTGTATCCGCAGCGCATCGACCGCTATCGCCCTGTCCGCTCCCAAACTCTCGACCAGGATCCATTTGGACTGTGAGCTACAGCGAATGCTCAGAATCGCAGGGACTTATGGCGCATCACATACGCCGTCCCTTGCCTCAGCCTCATCTCGTAGAATGCACCTTCATGATCTGCGCGCCTGGCCCCACCCTCGACCCCGAAGTCCTAGTTCTTCCGCAAAAGTCATTGTATTCAAAATCGACTCTCTCTGGCTCCAACGATAATTCTTAAGTGCGTATTATATCGCTGCCGGTTTCAGATTTCCAAACTCCCTCTCGGTTTACTTTCTTCGCGACACATCCAAAAACTCGATGATTTCCGTGAGTTCCTCAAGTGTCCTCCGAAGTCGCCTTTGTTGCTACAAGTGAAACAAACTAAGTGGTGGGTCGATTGGACGCGCGGCATTGGGGTGGAGGAATATTGATCACTTCTGCTCATGCCCACGACTTCAATAGACCTCCCCAATACTCGAAAGTTCGACCACGACGGAGTACTGATTGTCGCTATTCCGGCAAACTCGCTCCATCTCCCCACCTTAGTCTCACGGTCCCACTCACGGGGCTAGAAATTCCCTGGTACCTGCATGTTGTTCAAGGTGAGCCGCAAAGTGCCAAATATGGCCTCCCTTCGTGTTGTGATTTGAGCTGTTCAAATAGCTTGGTTCACTCGACTGTTAGGTCTGGGTTACAATCCACTCGGTGCCGGGCCCGGTTGTACGTGAAATCATTGGCAAAGCAAAGGGAGGGAAAACGCCTTGGTACCCGAGTGTGTTGAATTAATAATAATGTGTGGAGGCAGGCTAGTATCAGCTCGATAGCTCTAAGTAAAGCTGGATTCACGGCCTACATAACATAAGTATAACGGTCGTCGCGCAGCGGCCGGAACTGGCTGGATCAGTATAGTACATTGGCAGTAGACTAGCGGTAGACCCAAAAAATGCAGTGGCGTTGGGAAGGAAGGACGTGGCAAGAAAGGTCGTTATCACCGTGGCGATGGATATTGGTTAATTGCATCCCCATTCCGGAAAGGCGGGAGGTATTGGCGTTCTAGCCTCAGCGCACTCGGGGAGGCCTAGCTAGCAATAGGTCACTTGAGCGAGCGGAGCTACTAGTACTGTACGATATCCTGCATGTCGCGCTGGTTGTACTCCTCACTCCAGCCTTGCCCTCGTTCTTTGCGTGAGATGGAAAGAGTGTGTTGCAAGTGTCGTCGTCGTCGTCGAGTGGGTCGAAGATCGTGAAGGGCGTGATGGGTCGGATGTATTCCAATTAACAAGTTTGAACATCGCAGCATGCTTCAAGAGCAGCATGCCAATTGTTATATGATAGAACAGCATGTAAAGGTTACAGGGAGACTAAACTCTGCGCGTCCTGCCCGACATATAATTTCATCCCACCAGCTACAAGTTCTTTATATCCCGCAGGAATGTTGGCCACCATCTGCGAAGTTGATGTGAATCCACTTCGGCACATGATGCGGACAATTTGGATTTGGGTACGACGGGCTGTGAGCACGCGCAGTAGCGTTTCCCACCAAACACCGAAATCCGACACAGCCAAATAAAGCCTGATGGCCAAACTGCAAAGATTGGGTAGGAACTCGGATGGTCCGGCAGCAAATAATTCTTCCAGGTTACGGGCCGCTGGCCACGACCGGAACTCGAGATGCGTAAGGGTGGGGACAAGACGAAGACATTCACCAATTCCATCAAACTGGTCGTTGAAATCGAATCCAGCGCCGAGGACGAGCTCTCGCAGTGGCGGAGACGACCGCTGTAAAAATGACAAGAGGTCGCCAGTCAAGGTTTGGAGCATCGAAACGGAGAGGGATTCCAGCTGGGGGAGTGTGAGGCACCTCAGGATGCAGTCGTCACTCTCATGGCCATCCTTTCCCGCACCATTCCCGAACGACAGCCGATGAAGGTGGGGGAGGACCAGCGCTTCGTTGATGGCACGGAGGCCATATATGGGTAGCACGTCCTCAAACGTGCATTCGACAAGATTTGGAGCCAGACGAAGCAGCTCCAGGATTTGGGGACCACGGTAGCCTGGGTAATCACCCGGGTGGTTGTTCGGTAGATATTGAATCCTCAGTGTTTCAAGCAACGGTAGTGTGCCCGGATTCGAGGACTCCAAAAGATCGACCTGAGTGTGGTCTTCTTCAGACGAGTCCCTCAACTGGTCGCTATATAGCTCGAGGTGTTTCAGCCGCCACCTGTATTGCCACATGATGGACGCGACACCCCGCGAGTTGTCGGAAGTAGTGAAAAGGGACATGGAAAAGGGGCGATTACGCGCGCGTTGGAGCCAAGTTGTTAAAAGTTCTGGAAACTGTTCGGCGCGCGGGGAGACAATGCGAATGGCAGCCCAGAGGGCCGGAATGGACAGTGCGATGTCGGTCCATGCATTGCATATGTTCAGGAAGAGCATGGGGAAATGCTGGACCCCGGGCTGCGGGAAAGGAGGGAGACATCGAACGAAAATTTCGGAGGAGATTTCGAGTGGTAAACGTGCCACTGGATCGCGGACGGCGTTGAGCTGACGCTGTACAAGACGTTTACTTTTCTCCAAATGCGTCAAAATCTCCTTTTGCTGCACAATTTCGGTGGAGAGTTTCTTGATTCGCGCTTCCAGTTCGTGGACAGACATAGCCTGCTGCACGATGTCGGCGGAGAGCTTCACGATTCGCGCCTCTAGTTCGTGTACAGACATGGCCTGCAGCATACTTTAGTTATGGTTGGGAACGATGAAAAGTTTATCCTACGAAATCGTTATATAACTTGAAATTGTCGCGTCGTCGAGCGCGCTGAGCGTAAAGACTTGATAAAACGCGTCAGCGCATAAGGACGAGAGAAAAAGTAAGTTTTCACTCGTCTGTTAGTCGAAATTCTCGATCACCCCGCGATTTTTGTCCACCGTGAAGGGCCAGCGAACCTAATTGCGAGAGTGATGGTGGCACAAGAGGGAGAGAGAGACGGGATTATATAATCCCCGGGCCGCTCCTTACCAAGCCAGACTCGGAGTCTCCCTAACTTCCACATTCGGAACACACTTCCTCCTTCCTGGGGGTCGTGTCGCGCGTCTTTGAAAGCGAAAAAGCCGTGACCTGAAGTCAGAGTCTGGTTCCGCAGTTTGGCAAGTGCCACCGGTGAGTGGATGCGACCGCCGAGTCTTGGCTTCGCCCCTTCTAACTTGAAGTTCCAACAGACATTTCATCATCCCACTCGCTCGATACATGTACCGCGCCTCATCTCTGCGCATATGAATACCGGATATACGTTGCTGACCAGCCGGTTAATCCCAATGGATCGCCCTATACTTCCCGTGTCTTCGGAAGAACTTCAAGCCCTCATCGAACATATAATGGCCGATATGAGTTGAAGACAAGTAACTGCAGCACCGTAAAAGCGTTACGCAACGACGGCTCAGCGCTCATGCATGATATCATCATAATCCGCACGGACCGCGAAATCACCTCCTACATCGTCGTGCAGTGTCTGGAGCGTTTTAATGCCGAACTCGGAGCCAGGCCTGTCCCAATGCTGCTTCACAGGGGGCATACAATTATCCTCAGCACATATCTCTGCAGCGCGTCGACCACTATCTCCCTCTCCGCTCCTAAACTTTGGACTAGGATCGATCTATCTGGACTCTGAGCTACAGACAGAGTTCACGAAGGACCGACCAAGAAGTTGGACGTGGTGCACGATGCACGCCTGCCTGCGCTATACTCTACTGTCGCATGATCTGCCTAGTCGCAGGAAGTCCGGGTTCGACTCCCGGCGTCCGAATGTCATGATCTCTTCACGATTTTTTTTTCAATGCTATTCGGACCTTTTGGATTTTTGTCTCCCTGCGAGGCGAGTAGTTACTCACCCATATAAGGCTCGAATTTGTTCAGGGACGCGGACGTGGTCCATGTGGAAGGCTCGTGAACTTCTCAGACTCCACCCTCTGCTGCATCAATTCTCAATTCCCGTGAGTGGTCAAACTCTGTCGTAGACTCAGGTTGAGAACGTGTTCAGGTACATATGGGGACCCAAGGAATCGGACGTGGCACGCTTGCCTACCATAAATTCTACTGTCGCATTACTCCTAGTCGCAGGAAATCCGGGTTCGACTCCCAGCCCTCCTCCCAGCTCTCCGCGAAAGTAATTTATCTTTCTTCCGATATTTTACTGCGGCAGCTCTAAACCCCTTGTATACATATATAGTCAGGCGCGCAGCACACCGGACAAGTCGGACGTGGTGCACGGCGCAAGCCTGGATATAGATCTCGATTTTGGGTGTCATGCAGGAATCCTGGATTCGACTCCCGGTGCCCGAACAATCGCTGAACCCCCCCCTTTTTTTTTCGAAACCGGCCGGGTGGGTTCCTCGTTTCCGTTGTACTTGCTCAGATATACAAGGCTCAAGTCTGCATAGGCGACAACTCTGGTGAACCCCTGAACCTCCGTAGCGTAAGTTATGTTCTGGTGCGTCGATTCCCCTTCCCGCCGATACGCGCGTGAAGTCTTTCTCACACATATGTTCAGGTACACAGCGTATCTAAGGAATCGGATGTGGTGTACGGGGCACGCCTGCGGTGGATAAAAGTCCACGCTTCGTCTTATCTTCAAGCAGAAAGCCCGGGTTCGACTCCCGGCGTCCGAATTGTAACTTCGAGTAAGTATATATTTTATTTTGGTTCTCAGTCCCGGGAGAGGTACACAGGTCGCCCAAGGAATCGGACGTGGTGTATTGTGCACTCCCGGCGTCCAAACTGTGCACTTCAAGAAAGAGTCTTGTTTCAATGATTCGTATCGTACCCCTCTGGATTTCGCTGTGGGATAGATTATGGATACTTGCTCACTTTTACAAGGCTCAAATCTGCCTGTGTAGGACTCGGACGGGGTGTACGGCACATGTGCATGGCCCCTCAAGCTCTGTCGCGTTACCTTTTAGTGCGGTGATTCTAATTTCTCAATCCCAGTCGGCGCTAAGATTCAGATCTCTGTCGTAGATTCAGGTTCCCAACGTACCCAGGGGATCGGACATGGTGCACGGCCCACGCCTGTTTGAAATATGCAAGCAGGAAGGCGTCCGAATTGCGAAAAAGCGTCTTTCTTTTTCGGTACTCAATCCTGGGGAGGACCTGAACGCTGAATTCTATATAGTAGATATTATTCTGCTCGTGCCCCTCCCGATACTCGAAAACTCCATTGGCACGATTTATAGGGAGCACTATTCCGGCACACTCGCCCCACATGGCCAACCTCACGCTCCCACTATCCACAGGGCTAGAAATTCCCGGTATCAGCAAGTTGTCAAGGGTCCAGGTGCGCCGCACAGCATAGCCTTCCTCCGTATGTGCCATTCCTCTTACTCGGAACCCCGTTCGCGCTGCATGGCCATGGGTTGGAGCAGACGGGATCCGTTCGAACTTAAACCAAGGTTGTAACAACGTTCCTTTCGGTGCTATCATTTCTTAAACGCACTTGAAGTTGAAGCCTTCTAGGTAACGTGTACAGTATGCCAGATCTAGAGCGGTTTTTGTCGCCTTGGTCAATCGGGTTCATTATTTTAGATTGCTGCCAGTGCGTGTTTTGCAAGAAAAATCCAATTTCGAACGCCAGCCATTTTATTTTGGGTGAATATTTATCTACATTCTCAGTCTGCACACGGCCTTGAAGAGTCCTCCTTGGATTCGGAAACAGTGCTGGCAGGAAAAGGGCGAGTTCTGAACTGCCGGTGTCACGGTGCGCCTGGCACCGCGTAGGACTCGGACTCGATGCAGTGGCAGCCTGAGGTTCATGTCCCCAGAAGGGTGCGAGCCGGCGGCCGCTGTGCTGTGTCTGTGTCTGTCGGGAGAGGATATTGATACTACACGCGACTCGGAGTCAAGTTCCGGAACGCAGATCTAATATCAGCGGTGGCACGTACGTCAACCCCGACCCCAACCCCCCGAGTCAACCTCACGTTGCGGAAGATATGCATGTATGTATTCAAGCGGACCCAAATATCAGACCGCAACTCCGGTCCCCGCTTGCCTCATAATAGCATGACAGGCCAGGGCTTGGAACTTAATATTAATTCTCAAGCCCGCTGCCCGACGTCGGCGGGCTTGGCTCGGGCTTGAGCGGGCTCGGCGGGCTTCAGGACGAGCCCTGGGCATCGTGAATCCAGAAACGTTAACGGTATAATCAACAGTGAACACTGGGCTTCTGGGGACACTGGAGGGGTTGACTGTGGGCCTTCAATGACCCTCGGCTAAACTTCCTTGAACGAAAGTCATTTTTTTGGGTAGATAGTATCTGCTCATCGATGCATCTCCTCACGAGTGTACATCTTTACGTTGAACTTTCCTCCTTCGCAATGGCAACAGAGCTTGCTGAAGAAAGAGCAAGTTCCGAACTCCGTCACTACCCAGGACTCGGAGCAGGTTCCAACAAACTTCTAGGAGTGAGCGCTTGGTGAGCGCAGATACATGTAGCAGCGGGCCCGCGTTGCGGTTCAACATGAACTTTACGTCGAGGAAAAACAGAGAACTTTCGTCACTCAGCTGCACTGGTCTTCGGGATCAAGCGCCCGGGGCTCGCCAAATTAATCTATGTAACGTGTGTTTGTTTTCCCGCAAGCGCTGGGCGCTGTTTCACGCCATCATCATCATGGGCGCATCAGTCAAGGCGTAAGGGCTAAAAGCAAGGGGGAAAAGCTACGCGATAGTATCCGATCCGTCCATCATTCCTACCTAACACCTCATCAGCGTACACTGCCGTACGGTACAGCGTACAGCGCAGCCCGAGATCGTTCTCACCACCCTCCCCTTCCATCCCAGGAAATTCAGCGTCTTGCATTATTTAATCATCGTCTAGCTAAGTAGCCTACTTATAATATCGAGTGCGAGTGAGTGCGGCATAATATATAGCATACAACGGTCGTCCAGCGTCCAGCGGCGAATTAGTGTTTAATAGTAATAGTAATAGTAGTACAAGGTACGGTAGGTAGCCCGAGACCAAGATGATGACGGAACGAGTAAAAATACAATGTGTGGTGGCGTTGGCGGTGACGTTGGCATGGATGTGGCAAGAAAGAAAGGTCGTTACTATCGCAACCTCTACCTGCGGCACGGAAAGGCGGAAAAGGCGGAAAGGAACGCAGGACAAGGAGAGGAAAGGAAGGAGCGCATCACTTGAGCGTCCTCAGCTTCGCGATCACATCCTGCATGTCGCGCTGGTTCCACTCGCCGCTCCAGCCCTGCCCGCGCTCGCGGCGCGAGGGGGAGAGGAACGCGCCTCCTTCCTCCTCTTCCTCCAAATCTGCTTTGTTGTTGAAATCCCCATTGTTGGAAGGCGAAGGGTTGAAGGAGGAGGAGGAAGGGAGGAAGGACGTGAAGGGCGTCCCGGGGCGCTCGAGGAAGGGCGTGTCCGGCCTCGGGTCGGCTGCGGCGAAGGGCGTGCTCGGCCGGCTCCGCAGGGGGAGGTGTTCCGACTCTGCGTACGCGTGCGTGGGCGGGGGCATGGGCACGACGCGCACGCGCGGGAGGGCTTCCGAGTACGAGTAGGAATGTAGAGGGTGCGCGCGCACGGGCGTCGCCTCGTCGTCGTCGTACGCGTCGTACCCCTCGTGCTCATGGCCGTGCGCGGAGGAGATGTCCAGGACGAGCCCGAGTCCCGCTGCAGGAGGCGGCGGGGTGTGCATCCGCGCGCCGCGCGAGGGTGCGCGGACGCGGGGGAAGGAGAACGTGATGGGCGACGTGCTGGCGGGCCGGTGCAGCCGCGGCGACGGCGGGTGCGGGTGCCCATGCTCGCTCGACGCCGGGGAGTGGGACGAGTCTGTCGAAGTGCCGCTGCCGCCGCCGCGGAGCTTGGACGCGAAGGTCGCGAGCGAGAGGCTCGCGCGGCGTGCGAGCTTCCCGCCGCCGCGCGCGGGGCGCTCGGTTAAAAATCGTTCGTGGGCACCGGGCTGGGGGCTGTCCGCCGAGCGGCGGGGCGGGGGGTCCGGGAACGGTTTAGCGAGCGGGCGAGGGCGGGGCTGGAAGACGAGGTCGATGGGGACGGATTCGCCGAGGATGCGCGTCGCCTTGTCGAGCTGGCGGCGGCGGAGCTCCGTTTCGGGGATGTCATCCATTGGGGATTCGGGGGGAGAGGCGAATTCCGAGGTGGGGGACGGCGATACGACGATGTGCGCCGTGGTCGAGCGCGGGGAGCGGGTGAGCCAGGGGGTTGTGAGCGGGTGGGGGAGGGTGAACGGCAGGTCGTGGGATGAGGAACTTGCGGAAGCGACGGAAGGGGAAGAGGAAGAGTAATGGGAGTAGAAGGACCCGCTGGGAGATGCGCCACGGAGGGGCAGGTCGTGCGCCCGTAGGCCATCGCCATAAAACGAGCCCGCGGGCGATGCGCCGCGCGAGGGGAATGCGGTAACGTCGGGGTCTGTCTTGTGCCGCGTAAACAGGGGCTTGGACATCGTCGCAGGATGAAACACGGACGGGCCAGGGGCATATGAGACGAGCATTAAAGTTAAGAGCGTTTTGAAGAGACCAGAGACAAGGCAGAGGTTACGGAGACAGCGCCGACATCCAGTAGCGCCTTAACTTATGATAATGCAGGGTCTTATTACTGCACACCCGATGGGGCTGCCGCAAGAATAGAAAAACATGAAACGGTGTCCAAGACTGTACGCGACGTGATGCCATCAATCCCGGATGATGCGACTCAACTCTACCCAGATTGAGCCATCCACGACTTCCACGTTCGCCGAGCCCTCATCGTCGCGATGCGACTCCGACTGTCTATCCAGACTCTGAAACACCCACTTCCGGGCTCAGTATCGAATCCACCCAGCTCTCCAAGCCGTCCGACGTCGGCCCGACTCGCGAGTCAGTCTCAGGTTGAAGGCTGCATATGCCCGGTGAGCGTTTGGTCCTGGAATTAATCCACATCCCATCAGGCTTCAACTTTCTTCCGTCAATTTCAAGTTGTCCACAACCCTTACTCTCACCATTGGCATTGGCATTTCGCCTCGCTGCACTTACATCCTCCTCCTTACCCACACGTAGCCCATCTCTCCCAATGCCAATGCTGTCCTTGGCATTTGGCAGAACGCCGCTAGCGGAAACGTGCCCTGCCCAGACTTGTCACCCGCAATAACCGAGTCGCAACGAACTGATGCCAACATTCATACCCCGCCGCCGGTACGCCGATACGTCGAACTCGAGTCTCGGTCCAGTCGATTTTTTGCTCGCTGGTATGTATAATGAGTCCGTATGAGCGTTAGATCTAACTCGTACTTAAGTTTTGCAGGTTTCTACATCACTTCATCCCGCTGGTACTCGAAATCCAGCCTCAGCGTTGAACTACGTAGGGTATACTCGCTGACATGTCTGCCAATCTGAATCGGACGTAAAACTAACTATACATGGACTTACTTCCGTACTATCCCCGCCTCCGCCGTTCTCCGCCGTTCTCCAGCTGCAGCGCAGTTCAGTTCCCGAGGTCGTCGATAAGTACATAAATTCATTTTAAACTTGTCTAATCTCTCAGCATTCCTCAGACATAGCTGTGTGCTTCTGTGACACTGACTACTTTTTGTAGGCACACAGCGCTAGCGGCGGCTCACACGATGTGTATGTAAGTAACAGAATCACAACGTGGCCTACGTGGAGATTTCATTTT